GAATGTGGGCTTTCACCATTTCTTCCAGGCCACATTTTTATCCAGCAATAAAAAAATTAGGATTCTGAAGACTATGCAAAATATGTAAAACTGCTTTATATAGTATTAACTTAAAAATTAACTGGCAAATTTTATGTGTGCTATAGTCCCGTTAAAGAACTACCTGTATGGGGAAAAAGACCTGAAAAAAAAGGAGAAAATTATGAAAACTATGCAAGATTGTTGAGGACATGGACAATGCCTCTTCCATTGGTCTCGTTGACCACGAGGTTTCATTACTTATATGACGTGTCAGAGACTAGATACCTTTCACAGATCTTTAATTCCTCTCCCTTCTTCTTTCTCTCTGGAAGGGCCCCCACTTTTGTCAATGAGCCCTCACATCCCTTCACCCATCCCTCTCGGTAGGTAGGGTGCGTGTGGCCTGAAGAAGTCCCCAACCTGCGTTATTCACAGCCTGCTCCCTGGAAGACCTGACCGAGGAGTTCCCCAGCCCACACAGAGCAGCCCGGTGGCAGGAGCACAAACACACTTAGAAACTGTACAATTGTGAACTCTTACATATTCAAGATGAGTCACAATGTTTCCATTTTGCACATCAATCAAGCCTTTATCAATACTTTAAAGATCAAGTGCGATTCCAGATTCACTCCAGTAGTGCACAGACCAGACTCTAGACTCATGGCTTGCTCTAAGTGGATGGGTCTCCAGCCCGCTAGAGAGAGAATGGTCTCAAGGGGCACAGCTAAAACCAGCCTCAGCGGTTTTCTGCCCTCTCTTAGGAGAGGCATCTGACTCCACAAACATTAGTTGATTTGTTGAGCACTTTATGCATCAGGTACTCTCAGCCTGGTGAAAAAGGACCTTCTCTCTTCTGAGGCACTCACCTTCCAGAGACCTCTAAAATGCTCATTCATTCAACACATGCTCTTACTGACCACCTACTGGGTCGTGAAGGGTTTTAATATTTTCTCCCCCAGGGGTTCTGATCCTAAGCCATGTCTGGGTCTAGACTACCTCTGCTGTGTCCTGGCCAAGAGATGGAACATTCTGTGCCTCAGTTTCCTCCTCTGGTCATAATAGCATTACTTGTCCCGAGGTGGCTGGAGCGTTCAGGGAGTGGGCCTCTGCCAGGCTGGCTGGCATGCAGGAAGTGCGTCAACCATTCTAGGAATGACTGTGCAGCTCCTGGGGCATCCTCTTCCCTCTCACATGGGCGTCACCGTCCTCAGGATTTCCAGAGTACATAAAGCTTATCTCCATAGAGAGGGGCTCTTGGCCACAGACTTTCCCAAGGTCCCCTGACCCCTGCACAGCTTCAGGGTGGCCCCCCTCAGCACAGCCTGATCTCCAACCCTGCACATCAGAAGTGACTTGGGGTGAGAGTCAGCAGGCTGGTCACTCTACTGCTGACATGCCAGGCCTTGTGTGAAACCCTCTGTCTCTGTGACCTCCTCAGTTGACCTATGTGGGGAACGCTGTTAGAACCCCATTTTCCCACAGGAGGGGGAGGCTCTGCAAGGTGCCATGTTGTCTCCCAAGGTGCAGAGGCAGCCAAGCAGTCTGATTTTTAACCAGGATGCTCAGCAGACCATCATGGGGAAAAACTCTCCATCTCCTAACATTGTCTGTGCAAAGTCCTGAAAACCAGGAAGGATGACAGTGTTTTAAAAACAGACCTATAGAGTCATCACTCCAGAGACGCTGTTAGGCCCTTCACAGATATTAATGATACAGGTTCTATTATTAAACCTGTTTTGCGAATAAGGAAGCTCAGGCAGGGAGGTAGGACGGACGGCATCAGCAGGGATGTGGAGTCGGCTAGCACCCACACAGCTGAGCACAAGCAGATGGTCTCTCGTAAACTCTGGGTCCATTCATTCTCCTCCAGATCAAAACAAATCATGGGTAGTTAGGAGAAACTTTATGCCTGAGGATTACTGCAGGAGTCTGTGGGACTGGCCAGGCAGGGACCCTGGGATCTGCAAAACATCTCAAGGATCAGACAAAAGGAGTCTGCTTTCATAGGGAGGAATAAACAAGTCCAGAAGGAACTGGGCGCTGGGAGTCCAGATAACTGGAGCCGCAAGATCAGGAGGGGCTGTGGAAAAGGGGTGGCCTTCTGGCCCAGGCTGAAGGTGGGCCAGGACCTGGGGAGGAGGACAGAATCCTTAGGTTAACAGATATTTAGCTGCAGTTGATCAGTGGGAATGAGCAGCTCAGCTAATCTCTTACTACCTGACAGATGAGGAGTCTGGCAGCTCTGGTCTAGAACAAGGGCGCTCTGAGTCTTATCTAAATCCCACAGGGAGAGGAGAGCCCTTCATGGGAGCCCTTCATGGGAGCCCTTCCCAGAACTCGGGGGTGGAGGATTTCTTAACCCTCGCTGTTCTCGGGGATCAAAGGACTTGAGTCACTTGAGTCTGCTCGGTTTGCATCTAGCACCTGCTCCGTGCCAGGCTCGCCCTAGGAACTTTCCTAAGACCTCAGACTCATAAAGATGGTCAAAGGCACTGCCTTGGACACCACCTGCCAAGTCACTCTACACTCAGAGAAAATGGGGACAAGGTGAAAACAGCTCTTCCTGGCTCTTGTCCCTGCCACTTGGCTTCTTGCTTCCAGGTTCCTCTGGGTGACAGCCCGTGTCACTCCTGTTTGTCCATCGTGAATAAACCATTGTAGGCAAAGACCACATTCTGTTGATCCGTCCCCGGGTGACAGGCGTGGCTTACTTCCCTCTTCTGGGCTCTTGTGAAGAGAGTAGCCATGGGCACTGTGTACCTCTTGTGCTTCTCTTGGGTGTACCCTAGGAGTGGATGGCTGGGTCACCTGGGGCTCTGTGTTTAGCCTTCTGAGGAAATGCCAAGAGGCAAGTGTCAGAGTCTATAATAAGGAAAAAAGGTGGGGTTCAGGCAAGACACTGAAACTAATTTGAGAAAGAGGCGGGGGTTATAATCAGGGTGTGGGGTGTCTCTAAGCCTGCGTGTGATGGAGCTCACCTGAGGTTCACCCCAAGTTGGGTGCTGTCATGAGCCAGAAGTCTACTGTCCTACTTCTGTGGATACCACGGGACGTGAGACTCTATTTGTGGCTTTGCCTGCTACCACGCTTCAGAAAAACGCAGCAGTGCCTCGTGTGCGTTCATGATGGAAGGGGTGGTCGCTGCCCAGCTGGCTTGTGAGACTCCTGTCCTCCGGGGCAGACTTAGTCTGCTGGTGCTGCTGTAACAGGACCCCACCGGCTGGGTGAAACAGGAGTTTCTTACAGTCCTGGAGCTGGGAGTCCAAGGTCATAGTCCTGGCATCTGGGGTTGAGTGGAGTCTTCTTGCTGCTTCCTCACATGACAGAAGACAGGATGTGCTCTCTCTCCTCAAGGTCTTTGATCTGGGAACCTATTCCCATTCATGAGAGGAGGTGCCCTTGTGGCCTAATTAAGGTTTTCCACCTCTTACCACCATTACATAGACCTGAATCTTAGCAGGAGCACATTCAAGTCACAGTTCCACAGCGCTGAGTGGGGAAAGCTGGTCGCCCTGCCTCAGTCAGCCCTCATCCAGTGGGGGAGTTTCACAGGACACTGGTGAGCCCGAGGATCCCTGTGGGGGAGGGGCAGCCCTGGCATTGTGGGCGGGGGCACACAAGGAAAGGCACTGACCTCACCCGCGAGTGGGGCACAAAGGCCAGATGAGAAGAAGAAAGGGCAGAGTTCACGCTTCTCTTCAAAGTTAAGCAGCAGATGACAGAAGCTGGGCCTGGGTGCAAGTGGACAGTGGGTGTACCTTTGTGGTTGGCAGCCTGAACGGGTGGAGGAGCCTGTCCGCGTGCAGAGGTCAGTAGGTGCTGCAGAGAGCTGAGCCCCGGCCAGCGTCTCTGTATTGCAGAACTGTTCTCTTGGTGCAGAGGGAACATGCTAGTTAGTGTCCCGAGATCACACACCACTTGAGGGGAACCAGGAGCCTCCATATGTCCAGCTGTGCCAATGGTGCAGCAGAGGGTAGGGTGGGAAGCAGAACAGAGTGTCAGGGGCCGTCCAGCAAACACCTGGCTTCCCCAGAGGAGCGTGGACTGGCTGCAATCCTGGCTCTAAGCTACCTTCAGGTCAATTCATATCCTTTCGGGCAACAGGTATAGGGAGGATGCCTGACTACAGTCCCCAAGTACTGACAAGAGGGAGCCCTCAAGGCTTGCAGGAAGGGCCACATGACATAGCCGATGTAAACGTTTTTCTCACTGTTACAACTGTAGAGACAAACTAATCGTTACATGTTTGTTATTCTGGGATAACTGATTGTTACCCTTTTCTTATGCTCAGGGATTTCATGTCTCTTCAACTTTAGAATTTTAGAGATCTGTACTTGTACTTGTGGGTGGGAGACATTTTTCCTATGGTCCACAATATCTTCCAAATGGGACTGGGTAAACTTCCATCTCTGCTTCTGAGAGAACTGACACATCTTCCCCGTACTGTGTTACCCTGTGTCCTCACAGAACAGTGTGCTTATGGCCTTCTGTCCGGGCTGCTCGCTCTCTCGGGCAGTGTCTGCAGATGCTAGGCAGGCTGGCCTCTCTCTCACGCCCTCCTCTGCCCTTGCAGGGCTGGCCAGTCTCCATTCTTATCAGCACGACCTTTGGAAAAAGGAATTACACAAGAAAAACATGTACCCAGAGCAAAAATAGAAAATATGACAACATACTGCTGGTTTTCTCTGTCCTCTCTTCTTTGGCCACAGCCAATCCGACACCACCGTCTCCCCAGTCTTGCTCATTGTCCCTATGTCCATCGACTCCTTCCACACCCAAGTCTATACCTCCCTTTCATTCTATGGGGAAGTTGTCTGCCTTGCCTTTGCCACCCATTTCCCTGCTTAGCAAACTTCCCAGGATATCCCCTCTTCAGAGAGCCTGGCCATCCCTGAACAGCACATGAGGCTTTCCCTGTTTCGTCATCTCTCCTGCCGCTTTGGTTTGTGCTCATGCTGTCTTGCTTTGGCCCTTTGCAGGTGGTGACTCTGGGTTCGGCCATGGTTTGGCCAAGCATCTGGACAAGCTGGGCTTCACGGTATTTGCCGGGGTTTTGGATGAAAAGGGCTCAGGAGCAGAGGAATTGCGAAGATCTTGCTCCAAGCGCCTCTCGGTGCTGCAGATGGATGTCACCAACCCGCAGCAGATCAAAGATGCTCACAGCAAAGTCGTAGAAAAGGTGCAGGACAAAGGTATTGCCAAACTACCTGAGCCCTTGGTTGCCCATGCCTGTCTCACCAACACCCAGCACTCTTTCTGGCCTCCGATGAGCAAATCACATCCTGTGTCCCACGCTGCTGGCTCACAGCGCCTGAGAACATCTGCACTGAGCCCTCTCGCATGCTGTGGCCAATGTAGACACCCGGATGTTAGGGATGACTCAGACACAGGCCCTGTCCTGGGGCACTTGCAGAAGTCTCTGCCCGTCTCCCTCTGAGTTCCTCTCAGTCACTCTCCGCTCCCCATCTCCTCCTCCTCAGGGCCAGCAGTATTAAATGCACCGGGCTCCCCAGCTTGGCAGAAGACACGGCACGGCCACAGGCCTCCATTACCCTCTTTTCTCTCTCTTCATGGCAAGCTCTCTGCAGCCCGTCCCCCTGGCTTTTTACTTCATGCCCAAGTGATAGTGGACTCTTGCATGCCTCTCTAACTGACCTGGCCAAGGTCATCGGTGTTGATCTGAGGTCCAACATCTGAGCTCCTCTCTGGCACTTAGAGGAGGAGAGCATGCTTCCCTCCYCGACTCCCAGCTCTCTAATCACCCTTTCTGCTTCTCCTGGATGAGCGTCTTTCCCTTCTCCCCAGCAAACGCGAGTGCTTCCGAGGCTCCACCCCCAACTTCCTACTCACCTTGTGACCACCTGTGGGGGGTTGAAACTACCAGTCTTGGGTCCAGGATGGAACACATGACCCACAGGACCTGCTGCAAAATGAAAACGGCGGGGGCGGGGGGGGGGTTCCCTTGTTTAAGAAATGATTGAGAATTTAAAATGGAGACAGCAGAGAATTAACCAAGGGTGGGCTCCTTCCGAACTCCCACCCTCTCTGACATCATAGATCCCACAGTCCTGGTCTGCCCTGCCTGGATTCTCCCACCCTAAAATCCAGTCAAATCATCAGTGTCCTCTGGGGAGCACCTCAGCTGTCGGTGGTTTTAAGGGTCCCTGGGTGATGCCAGAGTTTGGTGAGGGTGGAGGAAACACTGATGTATGCCACTGGCTTCCAGAGCTGTGTGGACAATTGAGCTCTTTTTCTCCACATCCAGATCTACACACGGAGAAAACTGTCCACCAGACATTTCCMATATATCTCAGGCTTCCACTTCCACTTGCCAAAAACGGACCTGATTGTCTTTTTCCCTTGGTGCCAGGCTGCAAATCAATGTGCCATCCCACGTTTCGCAGCTCAGATGCTGGTACTGCCACCTAATCAATCACTGAAGCCAGCAATCCAGGGGTCACTGTGACCTCCAGCTTTCCCTTGATCTTGCATCTTGTGGACTCCTTATCAGTTCCGTCTCCTTGACACTTATCATCCAGCTGCTTCCCACCATCTCCTAGAAGTGGCAGCCTGTTGCAGGCCCCCACCATCTCCGCCTGAGTCCCCAGTGACCTCCCTGCAACCCGTCTTCCCTTCCCCACCACTTTCCAAAGGGAGAGTAATCTTTACCACGTGTAGGATCCTAAAAACCCTTCGATATAAAGAGCCTCTGCGGACTCAGTTCCTCCCACGAGCCAGGACTGGGGATGGACATTTGCCTTCTCAGTGGTTCACTGGCTGCTTCAGTGGCTTCCTATCTGTCACCAAACAGAACTGAAGCACCATCATGAGGATCAAAAGGACTTTCAGGATAAGGGCCCCTGCCAAATCCTTAATCTGCAATACCTGCTTGTCTATGTAATAAATTCTGAAGTGTTTCCAGAACAGGATGTATAATTCCCACCTCTGCACACCCAGCTTCCTCCTGCTTGACTTGGCCCCTCACCTCCACTCCCTTTCCCTAAGACTGTTCATTGCCTTGGTTCAACAGCATCTTCGTGGCCGACTCTGCTCTTGTAGGAGACCAGTGCACACGTGACATCTCTTGCATGACATTCCTGGTAACTCAACTCTCATTATTTGCTTCTTCTTCCAGACACTTCTTCGTTATATCTTGCTTGCACCTCTTGTACTGCACAGTTGTTAAGTATCTGCCCATCTCCCACTCCCCACCCCTATGTTCCTTGAGAACAAGAACCACATATGTGCCAGGATTTTTTCAGTTACAAGTGAAGTAACCTCATTCAAAATTGCTAAAGCGAAAAGAAAGATGGATGGAGTTGTAAGATGTATATGTTGCTTATATAATTGAAAAGGCTTGTTGATTTCAGGCACGGCTGGATCCAGTATCCATTTCTTAGTTCTGCTTTCTCCTCTGTTGGCTCCTGTTGGAGGTTTCCCATGGAGGCCTCTGGTACTTCCAGTTTACAACCCCTTTTCAGCAAGCATTCCTAGAATAAAGAGATAATGGCGACTGCCTTGGTTTGTACTCAAGGGATTAACTATTATACAGAGAACACTTAGAAGGGTCCCTGGCACAAGGCACAGGCTTAGTAAAAAGCTTGTATTTCCACTCACTCAACATTCAGAGCAGTAAATCCTAAGTAAACATCTAAAACCTGAAATGAAGAGAGAAAAACTAAGTTGTTGGTCACTAGGGATCAATTTTCAGCAGGTGTAGCCTTGGCAGTCATTTAGCAGAGAGGCAGGGTTCTTGGCCTGGAGTCTTGCTGTGGCAGGGGTTGGGCTCATCCCTCTCATGAGTCTGGCTCCATGGCTTCTTATTCAAGGTCAAGTTCAATTCAGAACCCTTTTGTGAGGCCCAGAAGGACAGTGCTGAGCGCCTGGAGAATGGAAATCCCCRTGTCTAGGCAGGAAGGGGACTGGTTTCCATGGTGTGAGCACCGGCTATTTTGTGGCCAGCATCCCTCCTCTGGAACAGGACGGCCAGGACACCTTCTACTTGCTCTTCTTGGGGTCTTTCTAACTTCCATATCCCAAGTCAAAGAGGAACTGGAGCAGAGGGACAGGGCTTTACCATGACCAAGGATTTTATTTGTCAAAGAACCACGGGGGACCTGGAGACAGACCAGTAGGTGCTGTCTTCCTACAAAGCATGTTATTGACTCGGTGTTAACAGACGGCTAATTGTTAACTAATATTAATTATGGTTAAGCTGTTATTAAGTTCCATAGTGGGCTTAGTGGCCAGTTTAGAATTCTATAGCAGTTAACAGGTACCAAAACTCAGGTAGATAGAAGAAAAAGTTCTGGTGCTGCTGTATATGTTATCCCTAAACCCCTGGCAATTGCAAATCTGTTCTCCACCTCTTTAACTTCGTTATTTAAAGAAGGTTATCTAGGTCTGACATTCCGTTCTTGTGTGGCCTATGAGCTAAGAACGGCTTCTTTTAATTCAAGCAATTAAAAGAAATCAGAAAAAGACACATGGAAATTATATAGTATTCAATGTCAATGACCATGTGCAAACTCTCATTGGAGCAGAGCCACTCTGGATCACGTGGCCTGGGGCTGCCCTTGCTTCTGTGGTAACAGCGGAGTTAGGGCAGCAGCGCCTGCAAAGATGAAATGTTTACTTTCCCAGTGTCTAGTCTAGGACGTTATCAGGCTCTGTGTGGACTGGCCAGAGGTGTGCATCTGGCTGGGTAGGCTGAAACTAGCACTTGCTATGAAGGTGACATCCTCCCACTTGTCACCTAATAGCTGTTGAGCTTTTCCTATGTGCCAGGCACCCTCTCATTTAGTACTCACCATCACCATTGTGTGCAAATTCAGGTCAAACTGGTGTGCAAGAAATTCGATTTTATTTTCTATAACTCAATTTATGCTTAGAGCCATCTTTCTGCCATGTGGCAAAAACAGTATGGGCCCCTTTGAACTAGGTCTCATTCCCCTGGGGTAGTGTTGAAATGACTGGGGTTTTTCAATTGGTCCCTGCTGAGAGATCCCTGCTACATGGAGTCCTCATGCAGTTTGGCTGGCACCACCTCCTTATTGCCATCAGACAGGCACCAGTAGGGCCAGTGCTGTCCTTCCTACCTGAGACCTGTTTGGCCCCTCATCATGGGTCCTCACCCCCTGGTGTTCCTCAGGATCATGGAGGGCAAGTTGTATCACAGATGCTGAGCTCAGCAACACTTCCTGATCCAATGTTTCTGATCCAGCGGGTCAGAGTGAAGTTCAAAAGTTTGCATTTCTAACAAGTTCTCAGTTGATGTTGCTGGGTGAGGACCACGCCTTGGGGACATCTCCCACCATGCTCTATCAGATCTTAGCATCTCTGCTTCTCCCGGATCTTTACCTCTGTTCCTGTTCCCCTCACCTCCTCCGAAAAAACCAAAAGAAAAGAAAAAAAACCCCAAAGAACCCCACGGGTGTTGTGATATTCCCTCTATCCTATCATTTAGAGAGTAGTTCCCAAGCTTCCTTGAACCTTGGGGAATTTTAGAAACTACTCGTGCCTAGGTTCTGAGTCTTTCCCACCCCAGAGTTTCTGAACAATTGGGCTGGGATGAGTCCTGAGCACTGGGATTTACCAAAGCTCCGCACAGGATTCTAATGTGCAGCGAGGGTTGAAAACCACTGTTTRTGCAGTGGTTGTCCATGGGTGGTCTGGACTTGCAGCACCAGGGAACATGTTAGAGATGCAGATTCTCAGGCCCTGCCCCGAACACCCTGACTCAGAGTCTCTGAAGGCGGGGCCAGCAGTCTGTGGGAACCTTCCTGGTGATTCTGATACACGTCTGGGGGTTCAGGCTGGTGCAGGCAGAGTATAGGGCTCAAAACCCTAAAAGCGACCCATAATTATCCCAGGTCTTTGTTCTTCCCATCTAGTTTTTTCTGTTTCCCTGAACTAGGGAATCGTTACCAGATCAAGGATGAGAGAAGACAGGCTCTTATTTCATCCTACATTGTTGCAAAGACATCCTACTGTCTTCACCCACTCCTTCCAGGGGGAAATGGCGGAAGCTCTTGAACTTCAAAGAAGCCAGGCAAAGATATTCTTACCCTCTGCTTGTGCCCCTTCCCATATTTGAAACATAGCCAGTTTCCTGGGTGCAGGCAAGGACTTTGAGGCAAAAGRAAAGACCCACAAAGCACCCCTCCCCTTTTTGATATTTCACAGATTGATTCTGCACACAGCACCCCATGGTCGGTGGTTTTGGTTACTCGTGGAGACTGTTTGTCCTTTGACATGTGGGTCTCCAGAGCTCTCCTGTCCTGCCCCTCCTCACAGCTGCTCCTTTCTGCCCCCAGGACTGTGGGCGGTGATCAACAATGCTGGGATCATTGGCTTCCCTATGGACGGGGAGCTCATTCCCATGGCCGACTACAAATCCTGCATGGCYGTGAACTTCTTCGGAGCCGTAGAAGTCACCAAGACATTTTTGCCTCTTCTCAGGAAATCCAAGGGGAGGCTGGTGAATATCAGCAGCATGGGAGGTGAGTCAGCCTCCTCACCCATGGTCATGGGTGCCTGTTGCAAGCAGGGCAGWCATGGACAGGGCTGGGTCAGGTTTAGTCAGTTTGAATATCCCCAGCTGATCTTAACAACAATGAGACCTTTCTCTCCTTTCAAATCCTTTCATGCACAAACTCTTATCTACTTTTTAATCCATCTATTCATTACTGGGGATTTTGGATTTCTTAAGTATCTTCATGCTGCAATAACCAAGGCTTTCCTGGATTGGGACAGGAAATCCCACATCACAGGTGACACCGGTGTGGCAGGAAGCCTGTGTCCAACCCTCTGTGCACTCAGCATGCTGCTGCTGCTGCTCTCTGCAAGCTGGGAGTAAATCCTTCCCTCTGTTGGTCCTGTTGGTGCCCCCCTGTTGCCCACCATTGTTGAACCCAGGATCATTGGTGTCATGCAGACGGGCACAGCTGGGTCAGGATGTGACATTTGATGACTTTCTCAGTCATTCAAAGGCTTTGTCGTCTCCCTTTCCATAAACAACACCCGTGCCTSGCATGTCATAGGCTTCCTTCTAGAACAGACATTTTCAAATGGTCCTTCAGATCCTTCCTCAGCTTTGGGGAGTGCCCACAAGCTCTCTCCAKTGACGGGGTGGGTGAGAGGGAAGTCACGGGGTTGCGCTGTGGAACTCCAGCACCCTGCCTGCAACCCTGCCTGCGTCCAACTTGTGTAATTTCTTTTTCTTTGTTTGGTTTGGGAGGAGYGGACCTGCGTTTTGCAATATGAACAAAGGTTCTAGAAGAATTTCTTTTTTTGTAGGGCATTTGTATTTCTGAGACAATCATCGCTGTCCGTCACATTCTGCTTCCTGTCTCCTAACTCAGTCACTTCCTTGAATCTCACTGTGGTGTGTGTCTTGGGTCGGTGTCATTGGTTGGCCTGAGGCAGAAGAAGGGAGAGGGGGAGGGAAGGAAAGATGGGGAGTGGGCGAGAGAGACAGATTCCAGGGGGGTTAGGAGCAACCAGTGTTATCTTTTAACTTGTATGACCACTCCTAAATTTTTCCAATTTCTGTTACTTGGAGGAAGCAAATGAATTCTGAGGGGAACACCCCCCCACACCACCACCACCACCATGACCTAGCAGCATTTTACCCTTGACTTTGTTCTGAACTTGGCCTTGATGTGTTTGACCTCTGTGGAAGCATCACCTCTCGCAGCTCCCTGGTAYGGTCTGGTACTTCTGGCAAAGTCTCAAGTACACCTTGCCTCACTCATTTAACAAGTATTTACTGAAATGATTGATCATGGCCTTCTTGGCACATTAACTAGGATGTTTTTCCCCTTTTCTCTCCACCTTGTTCCCCACTTTGAGCGGCTCACTCATTTGAAAGGTTTCATGTTGGTTATCTCCAACATGCAGGATCGGTGCCGTGGGCCCAGCGTCTGGTAGCACCAGCTCAATTAATAAAGAAAGAAATGCAGATGTGTGAGTGAGCAGGAAATGGAAGATGGGTGAGTGAAGGGCTTGCAGGACAGAGGTCGCCCTTTTGGGTGTCTCCAGCGTGGCTTGAACACTCTTTTCAAGCCAGAAATTCTTTCTCTGATTTCTTGTATCCCTTTCAAATAGTAACCTTGAGTGTTAAAATAAATCACACATCTCACATCTATTCTCACTCCCGGGTTATGCAAACTCTTGACACCTGACCTCACTCTTCCATTTCTTGGGGATCAGCACCAAGCCAACATGGCTGAAGCCGGTCCTGCTCTCGGGCTGTGGAGCCTGCGGTCCAGGCTTCCTCCGGTTTTTCATGGTTCAGAGCTGGGAGCCTTTTTGTTTTGTTCCTCCTTGTGTGTCCCTGAAGTGTATGAAGTCTTCCTTCATCATGTCCAGCTTTGAAACCCTGCTCCAGAGAAGCTCTAGAAATGATCCTATTGATAGGACTTAGAAATCACCCAACAGACCAGGAGATCAGATGTGGAGGATTGTGTACCCGCAGGGCAGGGAGCTCGTGAGCAGACAGAAACACAGCTCTTAAAATTGTTGCTAACACTTGGGCTCTGTGTTAGTCTGCCAGGGCTTCCAGGAGAAAATGTAGGTATGTTAGCAACGGATGTTTCTTTTCTCGCAGTTCTGGAAGCTGAAGTCCAAGATCAGGGTTTCTCCTGCAGTCTCTCTGGTGGATGGCCACCTCCTCATGYAGACAGTCTGTGTGTTTCCATCCCAGCGGTCTCTTCCTCTCCTTGCAAGGGTGCTAGCCCTACTGAACTGTGGTCCTATTTAACCTTAATCRCCTCTAGAAAGGTCCTATCTCCAAATACAGTCACACTCCAAAACACTAAGGGCCAGGGTTCAACATTTGAATTTTTCTAGGAGGAAGTGGAGTCCCAATGCAGTCTCTAACACCCTCATGGATGAGGAACACAAGGGAGACTCCTAGCACTTTCTGGAGAGGTTTTACACCATGTTGAATTGACACTCAGCTCTTTATTGCACCCCCAAAGGCAAAGCCCAAATAAAATAAGATTTTATTTTAAAGACTCTGTGCAAAGAGGGAGTAGAGGTTAAATCCCATAGCTCACAACACATTTTGGTGCAAATGCCCTGTGGTCTTCAGTTGCTGGCCACCTCCCCTTGGGTCACCTCCCCTTCCCCATGCTTCCAAATCTTGATGGTCCTTTTCCTTTTCCTCTTCCCAGCTCTTTCTCTACCCCCTCCCAATGCCCAGAATATTCATCCACCTACTCTGAGCCGCTCAGTAAATAAACCCCCCACAGGCTCTGCCTTCCCCAGGAGGCAAGAGTGTGCACAGGAGGAGAGAGGACCCTGGTTACAAGTGGTGCTTGCCGGCCAGGGTTCAGTTGCCTGCCGTATTCACTTCCTGTCTGCATCTCACGAGCAAACGGAGGCCATCCACGTGAACTTCCACCCCCCTCTCCTTTCTTCACCCCTGCTCCTCCTCCTGCTTTCCTTCCTTCTCTTCCCTGCWAGCCCTTCCCTCTCTGGGCCCCTCCCTCTACCCAGGGCCCCAATCCAGGGATGAGTCCTTATCAATTTCTCAATCGCTTCCTCTCTGTCAGGTTGGGCCCCTTGGGTGGGGCAGGGWGCTCCACTCCACCTCCTAATCGGGTGACACTCCCAGAAACCTCCTCCCAGAACTCCCAGAGCCTTTCTAAGCTCCCATTTTCTCCCCACGAAGTGGAGGAAACCAGAGTGCTGACCACACAGAGGTGTTCCGAGGCTTAAATAAAATAATCCACCTGAAGTTCTTAGCGTGGTTCCTCAGGTGAGGGGTGGACAACCCCAACAGGCCACCACTTCTGGATGGGGCCATGCCTGCTCTAGGAGACTTTTCCCTGTAATAAGATAGTCATCGTCCCTCCCACACCAGGATTATGCTCTTTAACCCCCATCCTGGCAAGGCAGTTGGATAATCTTCCTGTTCCTGAGGCCTAGGAGCTTTTTCTGCCTGTTTTCCTCTTGGGAAATTACCGAGTAGCCACTCCTACACATTTGCATGCTGAGCTTCAATGAGAAGGCAAATGCTTCTGAAGGGACTCAGGCCACAGGGATTTTGAGTTGGTCCTGATTTGCATTGTGCTCTGCTGAATCAGCTGGGTGACCTGGGGCAGGCCCTCTGTTTTGTCTTGACTCTRTTTTATCATCTTTTAAGTGGGTGTGATATAACACCTGGGAGCATTTTTCAAGGGCGCTAGGGCATCTAGGGCACCTGGGGCAGTGTTTCTCAACCTGTGTGCTCTTGACATTTTGGGGAGAGGATAATTCTTTCTTTGGGGGGGGGTTGTCCTRTAGTGGGGGTGGTGTTTGGCAGTGTCCATGTCCTTCACCCACTAGATCCTAGTMCCACTTTCCACCCCCATTGTGACAAATCTTCAGCTGTTGTCACATGACCCCTGGGGTGGGGGGTAAAATTCACCCCAGCTGAGAACCTATGGTCTCAGCTGTTGGTTTAAATGCATTGCAGGCTCTGAAGGCTGAACACAGCCAGTGAAATATTGAAAGTACCCATCTCAGTCTGTTGGTGTTATAACACAGAACCTAAGCTAGGTACTTTATATAAACAGTTCATTTTGGTGRCTGAAAGGTCCAAACATCATGGGGCCAGKGTTAGGAATGACTCSTGGCATTTTTGGTTGAAAGGTGACTCCAGCAAGCCTTTGAGATGATAATGATTATGTTAAGATGTGCATTCAATTGGATATTAGACCCCTGCTGTCCGCCTGGCCTGCTACTTTGGAGCTCTGGGGCGGGGACTCCCGGAGAGTTCCCATTGGTTGGGGAAGTTCGGTAGGAGGGATTTCCGTAGGAGGGATTTTCCGGTTGGTGTGGTGTGGCCCGGCAGAAGGCCGTGTGCGTGGTGTTCGCGGAAGTTTTGGAAAAAAAGTTTGTTCCTGCTTGAGTGGCTCGTGATTTTGTGCCCAGCCAGACTGCGGCACCCCCAGTTTCCTAACTGCCTTTCACTAGTCCCGGCTCTTCCGTTTTCACCACTTCAACACCCACACACTGGGGACCAAGCTTCTAGCACATGCACCTCTGGGGGACAAACCACATCCCATCGTATCTCCACCCTATGAAAGGGACCTCTCAGTTGTAGTAATCATTGCCCACCATCTCGAGCTGATTTAAAATCACCTTACACCAAACGAAGCAGCCTTGGATATCCTTACAAGACCATATATTCAAGGGATACCGTAGAGTTCAAGGCTTAATCTAACTCAGCCTAAGGTTGACCATGCGGTCATTCCTAGACTTCTTTCYAGTTTGCTGCCTCAAGGGAATCTTTTGGAAAATCAGTCAGCTGGACTCCAACTGCTTCCTGACTGAGCACGCCAAGACTGAGGCTTACCTCCCCGACACTGTCCAGGGCTGTGGGGCAGTGGGCAGTGGGTAGAGCAAGGCTGAGTGGCGCTTCCATGCTGTCCACSGTGGGATGTGTTAGGCGTTTACATGTCTAAAGTCGCGCACTTCTAACACCTGCAGGATGCAGRGATTGATTTTTCAT